GTTGAGTTTGGGTCTAGTAGGAGAGTATTGTACAGGTTGATAGGTGAATTATACATGCCCGGAAATTGAGCACCTTAACCACCAGACTCTCTCAGTTTGTCTTCATTTAGTCATCTGGGCTTCTCTTCCTTTTCTAACTTCTTGCCTCTCCTTTTTGAGATTCAATAAACTGATAAATTATCCAGAGTGTCCCAGGTACAGACACATTATTGTTTAGTTCAGGAATATGTTAATTAAAATGTTAACAGATACATTATGGTTTTAGTTCAGAAATAAGTTCAGTTTAGGCTCTGATACCTTTGCTGATAAAGTCCGTCATTTATCTTGGCCTTTCTGGCTATGCCAGCACTCTGGGCTGACGTCTCTAAAAAATAGCCTACAGTGATGTTAAGGTTCCTTTCCTGGGTGATTATTGATGGCCAGCTCCTAAACGTGCACCATTAGGATTGCTTTTCTTTCTGCTGTATTACTGGCAGGTGGTAACACTGTTTCATGGAGAGAATCTAAGGATTCTTTCTTATTCTACTACTCAGTCACCCAACCCAACTTTCCCAGTAACATCTTCCTGCAGAGTTTATTCTCTGATCTTTATATTTTGCTAACATAGAAGCTTATGGACTTAGAGAGTTCAAGTGCACTCATCTTAAGAGTATTTGCAGATGCTGAATACAAATCAGTTGCCCTTTCGGTTTTCTAGTTTGTTTGTGCTGTTTGTTTTGTCTGAGCTTTCTCTCTCTAAGCCAAACTTTCCTGTATTCTTTAATCCTTCTTTTCTCTCTTCTTTTCCTCTGCCTGGGAAACTGTAAACACATTCAAGTAGCATTGTTTGTATTTCTGTAATAGTACATGTGATGGTTTGTTTGCAAATTACTTAACAATCTTCCGAGATGTTCAGAAATCTTACTACTAAAAAGGTCAGGGCCCTAGTCATAGCTAAAGATTTATACAAGAATATTCCCTTTGGAATCTTAGTAGAAATCAATGTGAAAATGATCAGATTGACTCCATTTTTATTTAAATGCAACTTTAGGATCACATCTTTATGTCAAAGTAGGTACTTAGTAAACCTGCTTGTTCTGTTTTCTAAATGTTAGTAAAGAATAAATTACAAAAATCGAGGGGAGGGAGAAAACCATTTCTTAAGCACTGAGTGTGTGCCAGGCAGCATTACCTCATCACCAGCTATTATTGCTTAACTACCTGTAGGAATTGTGCTGAAGGACTTTTTACATATTATCCCATTTAAACTTCCCAGTGCTCTTAAGATTGCTTAATTTATTTCTTGTTTTTTTTCCATTTATTTTTATTCATTGGAGGCTCATTACTTTACAATATTGTAGTGGTTTTTACCATACATTGACATGAATCAGCCATGGATTTACATGTGTTCCTCATCCCGATCCCCTCTCCCCTTAATTTATTTCTTAGAAAGGTGATCATGTATACAATACTAATTGAGAAAGGTATAAAAAGGTTTGCAGTGAAAACTTACTCTCTGCCACAGGGCCCTCCAATCATCAGTTCTACCTCCATACCACTGCTTCTGATGTCTTATGTGCTCTTTCAGAAATATGCTGTAAATACATAAACATAATCATATGTAAGTATGTGGATATATTTTATTTTAAAGATTTTTACACAAAATGGAGTTATTACTTTGCATATAATTCTGCATCTTTTTTTCAATGAGTGTTTCATGTCAGGGGGTGTAGAATTGCCTCATTCTTTTCTTTTCTTTTTTTTTTTTTTTTTTGCTGCACTGGGTCTTAGTTGTGGCATGTGGAATCTAGTTGCCTGAGCAGGGATTGAACCCAGGCCCCCTGCATGGCCAGTGCGGAGTTTCAGCCACTGGACCACCAGGGAAGTCCCGCCTCATTCTTTTTAGCAGATGTACTGTAGTTGATTTTACCAGTCCCATTGATAATAGTCCCTTTTCTTTTAATAGATAAGTTCGACCCATATATATTTATTGGAGGGACTCATATATTTGGTTTTAGTTCTATTTTTAATATTTTCTTTTAAAAAACTTCATTATCAGGACTGTACTTGCTTTGGGAGGTGGGTATATTCTGGTGTAGGTTCTGATGATTTGAAAGAGTTACCTTGTTATTCTAGTGATTGTGTGTAAGTTTATACCATGTTTCTTCAGACAGTGTCTGTTGACTCCCTACCATGAGTAATGATAAAATTAGTACTATTTCCTGCCTCCTTCCCACCTGCTTTTAGTTGATTATAGTTATTTTTCTTAGTTTTATATCTTTAAACATACCTGTATATTAGGGCATCAAAGAATGAGATGGCTGGATGGCATCACCAGTGCAGTGGACATGAACTTGGGCAAACTTCAGGAGATGATGAGGGACAAGGAGGCCTGGCATGTTGCAGTCCACGGGGTCACAAAGACTCAAACACGACTGGGAGACTCAGCAACAACAACATACCTATATATTGCTTGAACTACCAGTTATAAGTATCTTTAGAGCCTTGTCAGTAAAAGATGAGGAAATCAGTCTGCTTATTTCTGCCCACTTTTCCTCCATCCCACTTTAACTTTTGCCAGTTACGTTATTTTTTGCCTTCTCTTCTGCAACCAGAAAGCCTCAAATTTAAGGTTCAATCTTTACAAAGTTTTAAAAATTTACATACTGATTGACTCTTGGCTGCACTGGGTCTTGGTTCTACGTACTGTTCAGCTGTGGTGCAGGGGCTTCCTTTGTTGCAGAGTCCAGGTTCTAGGTGGGCAGGCGGGCTCCAGGAGTTGCAGCGTGTGTGCTCAGTAGTTGCGATTCTCCGGCTCTAGAGCTTGGGCTCAGTGGTTGTGGCAGACGGGCTTAGTTGCGCTGGGGCGAGTGGAAGCATGTGGAGTCTCTTCAGAACAGGGATCGAACCTGTGTCCCCTACATTGGCAGGCAGATTCTTGTCCACCACCAGCCTTTTGCCATGCCATAGTTTCTCCATTTATTATATTATTAATTGAAGTTTTTCCTCTAGTAGTTTCTTCAGGAAGGAGTCAAGGAAACCAGATTCCCTGAGTTCTTAACACGCTGAAGCGTGCTTTTCTGTTGCCTGTGTACTTAAAACAACAGTTTGGCTCAGTATACAGTTATTTCAGGTCACTCTTTTTTTGTTGTTTTTTTTTTAAACTGTGAACTACTGTAGAAAAGTACAGAAAACAATTGTGTGGTATGGTAACTTGATAAGCTTGATAAATAGTCAGAAAGTGAACGCCCCGGAAGCCCCCGTGTCTGTTTTCTATCACACCTCCTTCCTTCCCCACCAAGAGATAACCACATCCTTTTATGTTAACCACTCCGTGCTTCCTTTGTTGTGTTGCTCGTATGGATGATCCCTAAGGGATAGAAATCACTTTTGCCAGTTTGTGAAGTATGTATAAATAGAATCATACAGTATTTACTCTTTTATTCTTTGCTTGTTTTTTTTGTTCAACGTGACATTTGTAAGATCCATTCACATTACTTGCAACCTTACACCATTTATTTACATTGCTGTAAAGTGTTTTATTACATGAACACATGGAAGTTTATTTCACTGTTGATAGACAGTTGGGTTATTTCTAGTTTGGAGCTAAAAGGATCCATAATGCTATCAGTTCAGTTCAGTCACTCAGTTGTGTCGGACTCTGTGACCCCATGAACTGCAGCACGCCAGGACTCCCTTCCATCACCAACTCCCAGAGTTTACTCGAACTCATGCCCATTGAGTCGGTAATGCCATCCAACCATCTCATCCTCTGCCGTCCCCTTCTCCTCCCACCTTCAGTCTTTCTCAGCATCAGGGTCTTTTCAAATGAGTCAGCTCTTTGCATCAGGTGGCCAAAGTATTGGATTCAGCTTCAGCATCAAAGTTTCAGCTTCAACATCAGTCCTTCCAATGAATATTCAGGACTGATTTCCTTTAGGATGGACTGGTTGGATCTCCTTGCAGTCCAAGGGACTCTCAAGAGTCTTGTCCAACACCACAGTTCAAAAGCATCAATTCTTCAGTACTCTGCTTTCTTTATAGTCCAACTCTCACACCCATACATGACTACTGGAAAAATCATAGCTGACTATATGGACCTTGTTGGCAAAGTAATGTCTCTGCTTTTTAATATGCTGTCTAGGTTTGTCATAGCTTTTCTTCCAAGGAGCAAGTGTCTTTTAATTTCATGGCTGCAGTCACCATCTGCAGTGATTTTGGAGCCCGAAAAAATAAAGTCTCGCACTGTTTCCATGGTTTCCCTATCTATTTGCCATGAAGTGATGGGACTGGATGCCATGATCTTAGTTTTCTGAATGTTGGATTTTAAGCCAGTTTCTTCACTCTCCTCTTTCACTTTCATCAAGAAGCTCTTTAGTTCTTCATTTTCTGCCATAAGGGTGGTGTCATCTGCATATCTGAGATTATGAACACTTTTATATGTGTTTCCTGATACACATATCTTTGTTTCTCTAAAGACACATATATATATGTGTGTCTTTGGTCTTAGGGGATGCATATTTTGTTCTTCCTCAGTTAGCCAAACTTTTTCTAAGTGGTTCTATCAGTTTACACCCCTGCCAGCAGCTGTGAGAGCCCCCGGGTCACTCCTCCCTTGATTTATGGTGCGCTTCACTGTGGTCCAGGTGGTCCTTTGGGGTAGGCGATATTCCAGTTTTACAGATAAGAAAGCATGTTTGAAGTGGTCAGGTAGTTTAGTGAAAGTTTATAGTGAATGCCACAACCTGCATTTGAACTGTATTCTCTCCAACTGTAAGCCTTCCCATGCTGCCTTTATGGATAGAACTTCCTGATAATTGCGTTAGGGTGCTGAAACCTCACCAGGGAAGATGAATTTTTTTTTTTTAAAGAGCAGGTTGCCGTCCTTCGGCTTGGGCATAGTTGTTCTTGGAGGTAACCTGTTTCTCAGAGTCCCTTCCAATGTTGTGATGCAGGTGGTACTCACCCAACATATCTACCTTCCTGACAACTTGTGTCTTCCTTTTTTTTCTCACTTTTAGCATCCAGCCCGTGTATGGAGCACAGCACCCTCCTCTGGACCCTCGGCTCACCAAAAAGTAAGTCAAGATATCTTTCCTCTCGTGCATGGACTTCTAAAACCCGTGGAACCCTCCCCTACTTTGTAGAAGTGACAGTTTCCGCTTCGACCTTTTCTAGCTTCTCCTCTGTTCTGTTTTGGATCAGAAGATGAACAGTCTTCTTAACTCTAAGCAGTCTGTCACTAAGTGGAAAATTAAGTTACATCAAAGATCTTTTTCTTATGTTGCAAGTTGGTTTATATAGGGTTTGTCTCTGTTCTGTGAGAAGGTCTTTATTTGGTAAATATTGTCCTAAAATTGGCTGATTGATGATCTTCTGGCTTCTGGAGAGCATGCTTCTGTATATATATAGATAGATAGATAGACAGATAGATACACCTCCCCTCTTCCTTACTTACTGTCTGAGAACCAGGGCAAATAGAACTTAACTATGGAGCTGGCATTCTCCAGGTCCTTTTTCTCTTTGACACACTCAAGGAAACCCAGCCAGACAGTGGAGTTAAAAGCTCCCTAGAGGCTATTTCTCCTAGTAAAATTCTAATAAATTATTTTCAAACACAGAAGAGCCATAGTTAAATCCCAGATGTGTGGGTGTGTATTCATACCCCCAATTATCACTTTATCACACCTTTCTCTCATAGGCCATCGTTCAGTCACAGTAAGTTTAAATGATGGGTCATCTTCTCACATGTTCTAAGAACTTTGGCCTCTCTCTTTTTGCAGGTTTAATCTTAGAATCTTACCTCTAGGAAAGCTGTCATTCGTAGTGAAAGCTGAATGATTTAAGGAGTACAGGAGACCTAGATTTTCATCCTTCTGGGGCCTATGTCATAATAGCCACCCTTTCTTCCTTCATAGTCAGTGGGGAAGTAAAGAGAATGTACATTAAAGTATTTTGAATACCTGGGAAAATACCTTACAAATGTGCATTATCAATATTTTAATATTCTTTTAATAACTTAGCTGAATGTGTGGTGAACTTTTCTCTAATTTCACCAACCCATTCTTTTTTCAATTTGGCCAATATGTAGAAGATACAGTCGAGGAACAGGGAGGCCTGGCGTGCTGCAGTTCATGGGGTCGCAAAGAGTCGGACATGACTGAGCGACTGAACAGTCTTCTGAAATACTGCGAAGCATGACTGCTGTTCATTTCTGTAAAATGCAATTTTGTTTTGTTTTTTTAATCAGGTATCGCCAGTGTAAGCTTGCTGAGGGCTGGGACTTTGTTTTGTTCACCACTGTGCCTTAACACCCAGACAAGCAGAAAAGACAGTTCAGTAAATGTTACTATAAAACATTTATTGCCCTTATTTTAGGTCCTAAGATACTAAGTAAATATTTATGGAAAGAAGGAATGAAATCCCTCCATTTACTTAGATAGTAGGTTTTTCTTTAACATTTCTTAGTATGTATCTTGTATTAGATCTTCTCAAGGGGATCATGTTTTCTGTGCTATTTGCGTGATATTTCCATTAAGCATGATGAGTTCTATTTCCCAGTTTTACTTACAGTGGACTGTTTGGTTTGTTGGCCAGTGGGGCAGGCACTGTTAATTACCTACCCAGCCGCCTTCCTGGCCCCTGCTTCTTCCTTGCTCAAGACCATAGTTTCATTCAGCTCTTGAACAGGCAACAGTGTACTTAGAGTAGGCATCTGGGTTAGTTTAAGCCTTTTATAATAATTCCTTGGTCTTACCAGTGACTAATCTGTGATGGGCTCATCTCATTGGTTCTGGCCAGTGAGCTATAAAAGAAAGTCTCCTGAAGGAGGATTTTTAGCAGGATTTTCTTTTCCAGTCAGTAAGAGATCATTTTGTGAAGAAAGCCACATTCTGCCTCCACTCACATTTCCTGCTTTTGCATGTGTTAATGTGAAAATAAGGTGCCAAAAACTGTTAACAGTTAACTTGTAACCTGAGGGAAAGACAAGAGAATTGTAGAGACACCAGCTCAGTACCCGGACATCACGGTCTTTATAATTTAAGTGTCAGAGCTGAGTATTCTGTTCCTTTTAGCCAATTCTGTTCACTGCCAGGGTTTGTCCATGTTTGTAAGGCAGTGGGATGTATTATCCTATTTTATGTTTGGTTCAGAGTCACCATACCTTACCTTCACCTGTCATCAGCTGAGTTTTCCTTGAATCTGTATTTAGGATGGGTCTTAAAATATCACCATATCCCAAACTGCAAAGGCAAACTTTATACACTCTTGTTTTGCACCTGTTAACAATATAAAACCATGAATGTTTCCACTGGTCATTCAGCAGAATTGCATTCATGTGACCAGTAGAAGTAGTTATTTAGCTGTGTAATTTGGGAGGAATATAACTGTCACTGAATAAATTGCATCCCCTATTTTTTGTGTGTGTGCGCATGGTGGTTTGGTATTAGCACTCTACAGTAAGAGATAACATGTGGGTCTGCACCGGACCATTTTACAATTCCAGATTGTTACTATAAAACATTTATTGCCCTTATTTTAGTACCTTTGTTGGGACATTTTTATTACTTTCTCTGATACATGATTATCATTCCACTTTAGGCCATTAATTACTGAGTGGTTAATCCTCATCACAGCAGAAGCCTTTACGTTGGATCTTCAATCATCTAAACTGCACAAGCACAACCAGTCATTCCCGTCTGTGCATATTGACTTCCATTTGCCAAATTATTGCCATTAGTGGTAATACTGCCTGCAATAATTTTTATTGCTCAGATAAAACTAGTCTTACCACAGAGTGGCCCCATTGGCCACCTGATAGTATGACAGGCTTCTAAATTTATTGTTTTCTGAATTGATATTGTAGTTCTGAGTTATAATTCTAGTTCACACAAAGCCCCTCTAGTTATTGATATAACTGGATTTACCGAATTCCCCACTTGCTTACATCCCTTACCAGTGTCAAATAAATCTGTCATATTTCTATTAAGTGAACAGCCATATCAGTAAAAACAGTATAGTATTAATCCAATTATAGAGTTATTGATCTTTTGTTTCTTAACCCCTATAACCTGTAGCCACTCTCCTCCAAAATATCCTTTGGTTTGTGTTACCATTTAACAAGTTATTAATCATCAAACAACTGAGTTTCTCTAATGGGTCATTCATTATGTGTTTGTGAGTTTTGAGTGTCACCTGCACTTCTTGAATCTCTCTTTATGCATCACTTACTAACTCCATGATCTTGGGCAAATTACTCAACCTCTCTGACCCTTAGATTCCTCATCCATGAAGTAGAAATAATAAGGCTTACCTCACAAAGTTGTTGTGAGGATTAAATGAGGTATCTTTGAAAGTACTTTTTAAACTATAATGTGGCATACAGCTGGAAGGAGGTGTTTTTATGAGGCCAGTTTGGTTGTAACTTTGGTGTAGTTCTGTTTAAATAATTTTGGTTAAACTTGAAGCCACGCTGTGGCATTGTCGTGCCTTGGGGTAGTTATTGGTTAAGTTGGGACCATGTTAAAATAAGGCAGCCTGTATGCCAGAGGCACCCCCAGCTCGAATCACCTGGATTCGCTTCTTACTGTGACTGCTGGGGTCAAGGAGAAGAGAGACATTTCTCCTCTGAGGACCACATCCCCAGACATGGCTTCTTCCCGTTCCAGCTACCAACGCACACAGCCTGTTTCATGTAGAGAGCAGAGTCTCCCTACAGAGAGTTCAGGCTGTCAGCTGTAGACACGTGGGAATTATGGCTGTGGTGTAATATGCTCAGTTTGCCTGGTAACTCCTCTTCCCAGGCTGCCGATCCTAGTTGTCCTCAACTCGATTCATCTTTTTAACCAGTTCTTCCAGGCCTAGAAAGTATAGGCAGGCTGTACAGTCAGGTAGACCTGGATTTGGGCCCAGACTTCGCTGCCTGCTCATGACCTCAGGAAGCCTCAGTTTCCTCATCTGTCTATAGGAATAATAATAATAGTACCTCCATAGCTTGTGAATGAGGCTTAGTAAGAAAAATGGCTATATATAAATAGTAGTACAGAGCCTGGCATGTAGTGAACAGCCAATAAGTGTTAACCACCATGTATATAAGGGCTTCCCTGGTGGCTCAGTGGTAAATAATCTGCCTGCCACACGGGTTTGATCCCTGGGTCAGGAAGATCCCCTGGAGAAGGGAATGGCATCCCTCTCCAGTATTCTTGCCTGGGAAATCCCATGGACAGAGGAGCCTGGCAGGCTACAGTCCATGGGGTCACAAAAGAGTTGGGTACAACTTAGCGACTACACAACAACAGCGGAACCATGTATGTATGAATTTACATTATTCCCTGTGGAGAACGATATTAATAAACTTAGAAAGGCTTCGAAGCTTTTAAATCTTCCCATCACTGTTGCAGGTCTCTAGCTCTTCCTGCTTCCTCTGAGAGGTATCTCGTCACTGTCACGCTCCTCTTTGTTTGTTTTTGGCTGTGCTGCGTGACTTGCAGGATCTTACTTCCCTGACCAGGAGTGAGCCTGTAGTGGAAGCACAGCATCCTAGCCCCTGGACCACCAAGGAATTCCCTCCTCTTTCATTCTTGAGAGCAGTTCTTACAACCTTATTCTGTCCTCAGACTCCTTCCCCTATAGGTGATGCCAACCCCCTCCTCCACGAAGGTCTCTTTCCTAAGAACAGGGCTGACTTCTTTAACCGGCTGATGACTGAGTTTGGGCTCTTATGAGGTAGGTGTCTCTAATTTCTCGCAGACTGTAAATGGGCAGCTTGGACTCTCTCATGTCCTCTCAGCACAGGGAAAGGCAGCCTCTCCTCCCTCCCTCCTCTCCTCTCCACTCCACTGTGTTGGAATGTTTCCTTCCAGTGTCTACTTGCAAAGTGTTCATCTGAGTAATTCCAGTTCTTTTCTTTTTTTTTTTTAATTCCAGTTCTTATTCTATTTCACTTATTTTGAACCTTCATCTGCTTCAAATGTATAATGAAAAACTCTAAATGCATAAAAAGATTAAAGGAAAAAGATAACAAACACTCATGTACCCACCACTCAGCTAATTTACCTTCTTCACTTGTGTAGAAAGCTCAGCATCTGTCAGACCCGATGCTCAGCATGACCCATCTCTTGGTGAAGTGTTTTAATCCTTTCCAGGATATGTGCATATGTGCATATTGCTTCATCCAGTGTTGGACTAGCAGTATCCAGTCAGTTCTTTGACTTGATTTAAAATTCAGCTTGATTTTGAGCCTCTTGATTCATGGTTTATTTAAAGAATTCTTTTTGGCCCATGCAGAGTGGCTTTTGGGATCTCAGTTCCCTAATACAGAGATTAGACCTGGGCCCACGGCAGTGAACGCGCCAAGTCCTAACTACTGGGCCGCCAGGGAATTCCCTAAAGAATTCTTTTTTTTTTTAAGATTTTATTAATTTATTTATTTAATTAATAAACAAATAACACCAAAAGCATTTTGTATTGGGGTATAGTCAGTTAACAATGCTGTGATAGTTTCAGGTGAGCAATGAAGGGACTCAGCCATACAGCCCTAAAGAATCCTTAAGACTTCAAGAGGGTGTTTAGGAAGCATCAACCAAGAGGAAAACAAATAACAACCTTGCCCTCCCAAGCACTTCATATCACTGTTGGATTCAGTGTGCGCAGTCTTGGGGTTCACGTGGTCTCCAAGGTGGACAACAGCCTCCTGTGCTTTTTTCCATTCTTTTTTGATGGCGGCTTCTTTCTGACACATCTGCCTGTTTGTTCTTGACAGCGGACCCTCTGAGGTGCCTACCGCAGGCTGTGGATCTGGGTCCCTTCTCACAGAGGAGAAGCCGTCACGGTGACGAGTCCAGAATGTACAGCCTCAGCGGGTCTACAGAGGAGTCATTTACCTCTGGCTCCTGGGTGGATTTTGGATGAGCAGATTTTTGTGCTGCGTTGCCTCAGTTTTTTTTTTTTTTTTTTCCAGTAGGTTTAGAAGTACTCTTTCTTTGGGGATTTATGAGAGCCAACAAAACAACCTTTTCCAGTGATTAATAAAAATAATACGCTCATTGTAGAAAACATGAATGATTCAGAGAAGGTATAGAAATTAAGTGTCACCTATCATTCCGCAGCCCAGAGATAAGCAGTGTTAACATTTCTGATCGTTTTCTTCCTGGTCTTTTCTGTGCACATACTTTTTAAGAAATATAGAGATCATAAAAAGTACATAATTTTGGTTCAGTTTTCACTTTATTGAGATCACTTTCTAGTGTTATTAAATAGCCTTCACGATGTGATTTTCAGTGGCATCTGGTGGCTGAACCATGTATATTTCATCATTTGTAATTTCTAGATGTTTATGTTTGCAGTTTTTAACCAAAATACGTAATACCATTATAAACTGTTTCAGATCACCTTTGTTTGACTCTGATTCTTTTTTTTCTTCATACTTTAAACTTTTTATTTTGTATTGGAGTATAGCCGATAAACAATGTTGCGATAGTTTCAGGTGAGCAGCAGAGGGACTCAGCCATACATATACATGTAACCATTCTCCCCCAAACCCCCCTCCCATCCAGGCTGACTCATAACACTGAGCAGATTCCATGTGCTACACAATAGATACTGGTTTGATTATTTTCTTATAGTCAGAGATTATGAGTCATTTTAAGGCTTATGGTAGGTGTATTGCTAGATTGTCTTCCGAAAGATGGTACGACATACACCCCCACCTGTGCTATTAGAGAACTGGTCTCACTACACCTGGGTCAGCACCAAGAGGATACGTCTTTGAATCTTTATTAATTTAGTGGGTGGAAAATGGTTTCTCATTTCCATCACGTTTGAACTGTTACATCGTGTTATCTCTTGTTATCTCTTACATCTTGTGTGATACGTTTTCCTTTACTCTGTGTGAGGCCAGTGTTTGAAAATATGCCTGTCATATCTTACTCCTTTTTTGGTGTTAATAATAGGGTCATTCTGATGAGCTGTGTGAGTTACCAGTCTGTCTTTATCAATGCTAACAATAGTTATCTTTCAGAATGACTGTTGGACATATCTTGGGAGGTGTCATAGGTATTAGACCAGCCTCCTCTACCTAAAGGGAAGAATATCTCTTGGAAATGGGGGACTTCAGCTCTTCTGGTAGGGCCTGGTTTTTAGACTAGAGTTGCCCTGCCTTGCCGAGGGAAATAGTGAGGCATTTTAATGATGTTGCTTTCCAGTCCTCAGGTGTAAATTTACAGGAGGCTGTATTCTTTGATTCCCTCCTTGGGGTATGAGGGATGCTAGATAAGACTAAATTATAGAAACATCCCAACTACGTAGTCCCCTGGAACCAGAATAAGGGCCACCAGACCTTAAGGGATTCACAGAAAGAAGAAAACTTCAGGGGGACTTCCCTGGTGGTTCAGTGGTTAAGACTCCATGCTTCCACTGCAGGGGGCGTGAGTTCAGTCCCTGGTTGGGAAACTAAGATCCTGCATGCCACATGGCACAGCCAAAAAAAAAAGAGGAAATTCCAGGAAAGTTGGAATGGTCTTCCTGACCCTTTAGTACTAGGCTCTCTTTCCTCAACAAGTTAATTGAGTATTTCCCAAACTCAAGTCATGTACCGTCTTCATGACTTTTTTGCAATATTTTATACTATTATTTATTAAATGCACTTGAAAAAATAAACTTATGTACTCAATTAGACTTACTTTTAAAATCAATCTTATTAGTTTCTATAAGTGGAAAACAAGTGTCATTTGCCCAAAATAGAAAATAACCTTAGAAATACAGTGAAACACGAAACAGTCTTGTTAATTAAATTCTAGGCCAGATCCTGTTGCTTACAAAATGTTGAACCTGAGGCTGCCCTCACTTTGTTAAAAAATAATCCTAAAGACAGAGTGGTGTCAAACTCAGATCCCTCCTCAAGGGCAGCAGGACTTTAACAGAATAAAAAGAACCACTTGTTTATTTTGAAAGTCAATGTTTAATAATAATACATGTGGGCTACCTAAAATTATCTCCTGTTCTACCAGTAGATGTCCTGCTCTAGAAAATATTTTAGGGTATGTTGCCGTAACAGATTAACTCTGAAATCTCAGTGGATTGACACAACAGATCCTTATTTCTCACTCATGCTTCCAGACCAAGGGAGGGTAAAGTGGGTGTGGAAGGCAGGCTCTGCTCCACATAGTCACTCTGTCATCCAGGCTGAAGGAGGTGCCACCACCTGGAGCCTCACCAGTTATCACAGCAGAAGAAAGCTTACAGAGAACTCACACGTAGGACTTCCCTGATGGTTCACTGGTTAGGACTCTGCGCTTCCATTGCAGGAGGCACAGGTTCGATCCCTGGCAGGGGACGTTCTGTATGCCCCCGTTGTGTGGCAAAAAAGAGAGGGAGAACTCACACCTGTTCTTTACACTTTGGCTCAGAAGGGACTGCCTCACTTCTCTCCTCAGCCCATTGGCCAGAATCAGTAGCCTCACCTAAGTGCAGGGGCTGGGAAGTATAGAGGAGCACGTGGAATATTTGGTGAATTATGCTGTCTTTGTTTCATCTGGTTCTGTAGCATAATGCTGGTCTAGATGCTTCTAGATAAGGAATGGATATGGATATTTTTTATTTGAAAAGGGTAATGATTGTGTATGAGATAGTTTGTAATACTGTTAATAATCTGTTAAGAGAAAGTGGTCGGATATGTCAGACTGTTCCTTGGTAACAATGTCCCCTTTCTTAAAGCTTCATTAAAGAACGGTCAAAAGTCAGCACGGTTCCTCTGAAAAATAAGAAGGCCTCCAGTTTTCACGAGTTTGCCCGGAACACCAGTGATGCTTGGGACATTGGTGATGATGAGGAAGAGGACTTTTCGTCCCCTGCTTTCCAAACTCTGAACTCAAAAGTTGCTTTGGCGACCGCTGCCCAAGTGCTGGAAAACCACAGCAAGCTGAGGGTGAAACCAGAACGGTCCCAGTCAACGACATCCGATGTACCTGCCAGCTACAAGGTCATAAAGTCCAGCAGCGATGCCCAGCTGTCCAGAAATTCCAGTAAGTCCGTCCAGCTCCCCGCCATAGGCTCAGCCTTTTCAGCAGAGCGCACTTTAAATAAAAACAGGTTCTGGGGGGCATCCCTCAGATCGTCCACCGTGATACGTAAGCGAGCTGGAGCCTGAGGACCCTCAGGGAGCCTCACTGGGCAGGAGCTGTGCTCGCTCCGCCTCCCGGATGGCTGCCTGGCCCTGGGACCCCGGCTTCACTGCCGACACCCCCGTGCCGGCTGCCCTTCTCTCCTTCCTTTCCCTGTGCTGGGGTCCAGAACACTTATGGTGTGGTTGCTTCACATTTCTTTGGGCCTGGTCAGGTTGAAGTGTGTTGACTAAATGGAGTTGAAGTTGTTAGTGGCTGAATTTCAGAGATGCTTGGCACCGTTCCTCCACTCTGGGGAAGAGCCCCTAGCAGCAGGTCGTCTCTCTGCTGTTCCTCAGGAACGGAGTCCCAGGTTTGGGTGGTGCAGGAGGAGATCCCACCTTCTTTTCGGGAAACTGGCAGCAGTAACTGGTTGAGAGGATGGAGGTTTTATGAGATGTTTGGAGACAACTCTTTTTAGTATCCATTGCTGTGTCTAATGTTGCCCTAAAGCGTTTTATGGGAATCAGTTCTGAGCTGGAGGGGGAAGTGCCCTCATGCTACTGAAACAGCTGACTGTGGTAAAAGGTGAAAAGGAAGTAGAATATCAGAGCCCTGGTGCATGTCCTGGCTCTTGTTCTAGGAGAACTTCTTTTACAGTTTCAGACAAGGATGTCCTCCAGAAATGAGGCTGTAAGGCCTGGAAAATCATTCCACAGTCACTTCGCATCTCTGATTTGGGCCCCAGTGATGCGCCCAGACAGGCATTCAGTGCCTACAGGTGACCACAGCTCCTGGATGTGGAAAGTGTCTTCACATGAGACCGAGGGTCTCCAGAGGGTCCCAGTGTGAGGGGAGGCCCCACCGCGATCCCTGACGAGCTGCGCTTATGCAGCAAGGACCACCCAGAGTACTCCCGTCACGGGGTTCCCCCCGGCAGGCGTCAGTCCGTCAGTCACTGATCACCGGAAGCAGCCTTCAGTCTCAGCTCTGTAGCGTGTGGGCTGCGTTTTCTCAGCCCCGTGCCGCACTAGGCATCCAGACCAGTGCCCTGTGGCCGTTGAGTCTGTAAACCTCCTACTGCTGGTTGATGAGGATTCCCTGTTTAATTCTTGTGACAACTACTTGTTAAGGCCCAAATATGTAAAGAATATGAAACAGTCATGAAAGGATGGTCAGAATTTAAAACTGAGTTTTGTTTGGGGGAGTAAAATAAATAAGGGTTTTGGCGTCAGACAGACCCAAGATCACTCAGCTCTCCCTTGCAAATTACTTAACCTCTCTGAGCTATAGTTCCCTCAAAATTGTGATAAATTCCTGCTGTAGTATGTTATAAGGATCAAATGAGAGAACATAGGTGACTGTGACCAGTTCAGTGCCTTAGTAAGCAATCAGTAAATGTTAGCGCTATCCTGCTCATTTCTCCTAGCCACCATCTTGTTCAGAAATGTCTAGAACCAGACATAGAGTTCAGCTCGAGTCTGTGTGCCTGTTATTTCAGTCATAATCCCGGCAGAACTAAAAGCCAGTTCATTTTGGCAAGAAATGTCGAAGCATAGAGGGCTGGCCTTAGGCCAGAGCCTCTCATGTTTGGGCCAAAAACAGGTGAGAGCTGTGCGAGGAGTATTGACCCTCTTAGCCCTTGGGGCAGCCGGCTGGGGCCTGGGGCTTCGGGAGAGCAGCCATCATCTTTTTTTTCCGTGGTGTGGTTTTACAGTGTCATTTTCTATGTGCTCTGGGACGTGGAAAGGGAAGTCTAATACTGCCTTTGACTATGTTGCCAACCCCCCCAGCCCCAAACTCACTATTAGACACCAAGAAAAGTTCCAGGTTGGGATAAAAAGAAAACGATAGATTTTTCCCCTGAAGTCACAAAAAAACTGTCAGATTTGCTTCAGTAGCTGGAGTCTCTGCGCAGAAGGTGCCTTGGTATGTCTGATAAACACGCAGCCCTTTCCCTGAGCTATCGGAGGGCGGCTGGGTCTCCACCCGCTGGCTGGCCGCCCCGCTGCGGGCGACCTGGCAGCCGCGCCGCTGGAGGAGCCCCGTGCCCAGCAGTCAGGTCTGAGTTGTCTCCGGATCTGCGCTCGTCACTCAGCCTGTCCTCTTTCTCTTTCAAACGACCCCTCAGGTGACTCATGCCTGAGGAACCCGCTCCACAAACAGCAGTCACTCCCTCTCCGACCCGTCATCCCGCTCGTCGCCCGCATCTCAGACCAGAACGCTTCTGGGGCGCCCCCGATGACCGTCCGGGAGAAAACACGCCTGGAAAAGTTCCGTCAGCTTCTCTCCAGCCACAACACCGACCTGGGTGAGTCCCCCCCTCCCCCGTGAGCCCTGGGCAAGCTCGGACCTCTCGGTGACTGGAATTCTCAGAGACCCGGAAGCTATTGCTCTTTATTCTTCCTTCTTTTACTTTTCCAGCATCGCCTGATCTGGTGCCCATTGAAGTGACATGCAGGTATCGCAGTCAGAAATACATTAACTAGAAATCAGGGGCCAAGTTAGGCGGGACTGGACTCTGTGGCCTGTAGACCCTAGTGCACCCATTCTGGCTTCAGTCTCCTCTACCTCCAGGCGATTCCTCCTGAAATCCACACCTCCTGGTCTTCCTCCTCCCTCTAACTCTAATCTCTGAGCTGACTGGATCACTGCTGCAGAGCTATGACCTTGGCTGCTCAGGGCTGTTGTTTTGGGCTTTTCACCGGTGCTTGTCGGTAGCTAGCGGTGGTGGTGGCAGTGGCGATGGCGGTCATCCTACTGAAACGCTGGGAGGCTCCAGGCAGCGCTGGCTGAGGCTCGTTTCAGGGCCCCCATGGGAAGGGCTAAGTCCAACCACACCTTCATCTTTTTGCAGATGAACTGAGGAAGTGTAGCTGGCCGGGGGTTCCCAGGGAGGTTCGGCCTGTAACCTGGAGACTCCTGTCGGTGAGTTTTGCCCACTGGGTAGAGAAGTGCAAGCCTCACACAGTCCTGCCTGCCTGTGGGGGCTGGTCTGGGCACATCGGTCTTGCCCCATAGACTTCTCTGATCCTAGCCGATATGGGACTGAAGTCTTGTCTCTGCATAAAGAATCACATCCTCGATAGTTTGTTCCCACTCATGTAGAAGAGCATAGGTTTGTGTGGATAGTCCTGATCTCACCTTCTCAGCACCAAGGAGGCATCTAGTGAGGCTGAGTGAGCCAGCTCTCGTGTGGGCAGGTCCCACTTTCCCTGTGCTTCCCTCCTTTCTCAGTAGGAATGACTAAGGGGGTTGAAACCCACTTCCCAACCGTGAAGAGTTGATAAACGGGCCTCCCTCAGAAGCCTGCAGTCGTCCCACGTTCACTAAGTCACGGAGCCCTGTGCCAGCCGCTGTGGTAGGAACACTCGATCTCCTGAGCCCATAAAATCCATTCATTCATAAGGATTTATTGAGGGCAAGCTGTTTAGCGGGCATGATGCCAGGTGCTGTGAAGATACACAGAGGTGGGCCCCGCACAGCTCCGGCTCGCCAGGCGCTTGCTTACTCTGTGGACGTGTCCCTTCCCTGCCTGTGAGAGGACGACTCTCGCTTCTAATCGGCCCCCACCCCCGACTCGCGCAGCCTTGGAGTCACTGCCCCTGCTGCTTCTAAGAACTCCAAATGCTATTAGAAGTAGCTGTGATGAGGATGGAAGGGGAACAAGAGATGTCAGAATTGAGAGTGGGATCTAGACCAGGGATGGCCCAGAGCTGGGGCCAGGAGCGAGGGGCTGCTGCCAGAAGTTCTGTGTCTGGACGTTGCAGCTGCTGTGTCACACATTCCATTCAGCCTCCTAAGCTGGTAATTCTCAACATTACTGTGGAAAAGAATTATGTAACTAGCACAAGCTCACACGGCTTGCCACTGAGATGCACCGCGGAGGCTGCCACCTCTCCGTGACCCTGGGAAGGATTGCCTCGCACACACACAGCCCCAGGAGTCCTGACTTGGGTCCAGTTCCCTCCCACTGACCTACATTCACTACTCTACTGTGCCAGGCCTGGAGCTCTGCAGTGCTCCCCAGCAGGACCCACGCCCGGGGCTGCAGGAGTACATAACCCTGAGAAACCCGGCCGGGCTTTATCTGCCCGAGAAACCTGGCCGGGCTTTATCTGCCCACACGTGCGTCTCACTGAATGAGGAAAGGGCAAACCCTGGGTGGCCAAAACCAAAAAGGGATTTACCCTTGTCCTCTTGGCAGCTTTCTTTCCCTTCCTTTGAAAGTTTCAAAGCCACTGCTCAGGCTAAAATAAAAGTTAAGATCGGGTAGAGAGGGAGGTGGGAGTGGGGATCGGGATGGGGAATACATGTAAATCCATGGCTAATTCATGTCAATGTATGACAAAAACCACTACAATATTGTAAAATAATTAGCCTCCAACTAATAAAAATAAATGAAAAAATAAATAAATAAAAGTTAAGGATTCATCCAACCAGTGCCTGTCCCCATCTGACAAGCGGTCCTGTCTACAGGGTTATCTCCCAGCAAACACTGAGAGGAGGAAGTTGACCTTGCAGCGGAAGCGGGAAGAGTATTTTGGCTTCATTGAGCAGTATTATGACTCCCGAAATGAGGAACATCACCAGGATACCTACAGACAGGTACGTCATCACCTGCTGCCCTTTTGCCCACTAGTCATAATCCTCAGGTGTGGCTCCTGGAAAGTGCTCTCGGGGTACAGGTTTGCCAAGTCTTCAGGCTGCAGTGGTTAGGAATTAAATTTATTCGCAGAACTGTGTCCTCTCTTTCTAATTCAGTAGCTCTGATTTTAGCCTTCTTTTTTTTTTTTTGGCTGTGCTACACGGCATGTGAGATCTTAGTTCCCCAACCAAGGATCAAACCCATGCAGCAGAAGCATGGAATCTTAACCATTGGACCACCAGGGATGTCCCTAGACATTTTCAATAGATAGATTTTGGGGAGTCCCTGGTCAGTAGCAGTGGTTCTTGGGCTTTAATATGCATAGAAATCATCTGGGATTTTGATAAAATTCCAACTTGGGATTATGGTAAAATGCAGATTCTTATTCAGGAGATCTGGAGCGAGCCCTTCGCTTCCAATGAGTTCCCAGGTGATGCCAATGCTGCTGGTCCACAGACGACCCTTGCGAGAATAGTCAGGGTGTTGGGACACAAGATGAAGGATGAGTTCGCTCAGTGAGTCCATCCCTCTGGCCTGTGACATCACTGTGTCCTTCTGACAGCTGCAGTGCCTCTTTGGCTTTGTCTGTCTGTCTTGTAGGAGCCATAGCCATCAGCAGCCTTAGCCGGGAGAGCCCTGCCATTGCCCATAGTGGTCCGCACAGCCTGTGGAAAGGTGGAAGCTGTGGAAAGGGGCCTGATGGTTGCAGAGGGGAAGACACTGGGTGGGCAGCTGTCTGCAATGGGCCCCGAGAGCTGAAGTAGGCTCAGCCGCTGCTGATACAGTCCTTAGGGCTGTTGCTGTGGTTTAGTCCCTCAGTCATGTCCCCGGCCCCTCGCGACCCCATGGACTGTAGCTCAACAGGCTCCTCTGTCCATGGGATTTTCCAGGCAATGATACTGAAGTGAGTTCCCATTTCCTTCTCCAGGAGATCTTCCCAACCCAGGAATTGAACTCGTGTCTCCTGCATTGGCAGGCAGGTTCTTTACTCCCTGAGCCACCAGGCAAGCCTGGTGGGTTATTAGACATTGGTAAATCCCAAAACCAATCTTCATGACACCTTTGGTAACAGAAACCAGAACTTTCAGTGCCAGTTATTCAACGCCAACTCCCTCTGGTTCCCTGTCCTGGTACAGTTTTGGAGCTTCCCGAGCTCTTTTAGTTCTTACAGACTGTTAAGGATTAAGAATCTGAAAGAGGTGTACACATTTTGATCCTATCTGTTAAATTCAAGTACAGGCCCAGAGTAAAACAGATGCCAGACAATAGGGGAAAGCAGCTGGTTCTCCTGAGTTGTGAAGCCTATTGCTGTTTGGTGTTAAGTGGTTTGTTCAGGAAGGTTTCATTACTGTTCAGTTAGGTGTTGCTGTCATGGGAATGTATTCTGCATGTACAGGTAGGTTTCTAAAGCCTTCTAAAGTTCTTTCTAAAGATAAATTTGACTCTCATTCTTACTCCCTTTGATTCCTAGATCCTAAGAAAATAACTTCTCAAAAGAACAAAGTGGCATTTGTGTTTTTGGATAACGGCTTCTCTTTTTCAGATTCACATTGACATTCCAAGGACGAATCCTCTCATTCCATTGTTCCAGCAGCCACTTGTGCAGGAGGTGAGGGAGTGCTTCACACTGTCGCCTGCCCTCAACCCCACACGCCTCTGCAGCGCTGTCCGTGGGGGAGTGCTCGTCCCTGCCTCCAGCCTCGGGGCGTTATAGCTAATCCTGATGGTACCCTGAGTTCATTCGAAGATGGAGCTTCTGTCTTTCAGAGCACTTTCTTGTGGGTTCCCATTAGGTCCTCATAACAAACCTGCGGGCTGAGTAGCGCTTTGAGGGTTTAAGGGACTTGCCCAGAGTCAGAGTCCACCTGGTGACTGAATGAAGGCTGGAAGCTGCTAGAATTCCTGGTCCTGTGTTTGCTATACTTGATAAAGCTGGGAGTAATGATTGGTGTGTGTGTGTGTGGTAACAATACAAAACGTAAAATTTACTGTCATAACCATTTCTAAGCATATAGTTTGGTGACATCAAGTACATTCATATTGTTGTTCAATCATCACCATCATTCATCTCTACAACACTTTTTCGTTTTCCCACACTGAAGCTATGTACCCGTGACGCAGTAATTTTCCATTCCCCAGCAGCTGCCGTTCTACTTCCTGTGTCTATGAGTTTGACTATTCTAGGTACCTCAGATGAATGGGATCATACAGTAATTGTCGCTTTGTGACTGGCTTATTTGACTTAGCATAATACCTTTGAGGTTCATTCATGTTGTCAGACTTTCCTTCCTTTTAAAGACGAGCTTATATTCCATTGTATGTATGTAAGACATTGTTGATCTGCTGTTTGTCAGCGGACACTTAGGTTGCTTCCGCCTTTTGGGTATTGTGAGTAGTGCTGCTATGAACGTGGCTGTGCAAGTGTCTGAGTCCCTATTTTAAATTCTTTTCAGATACGTACCCAGAAGTCAAATTAGTAGAGATACGTTGAGACCTAACAATTTAGCAGTTAGCAAAGCACATGAAAGGTTTCAGTGGGACTATTATCTTTTGACCAAGCAAGAAGTATAAACTCCTTGAGATTAGGGATTTCCTTACGACTTAATAGTAGCTAGGACTCTGGGTGGAAGGGCTCTTTGAATTATGTTTTCACTCATTCTCATAGTAAAGAATGTGATTTAAAATGCTCAAAATAATTTCTTTTTGACTTTAGATTATATTCATAATTCTGTTTGAATATAGATGTGTCTAATGATGGGATCCCTCATAACTTACCAGTAGTGTAAAGAAGGTTTTGAGGGTCGTGCCATTGTTTTACCTGTAAGAATCAGCTCAAAGGAAGGTGAAAACCCACTCAGGATATCTTTGTGTCTCCCTTTCAGTTTCCCTTGGCTCAGCCCTACTTATTCCTCATTTTAACTTGAAGATGTTCAGATCTTTCACCTGTGCATGCATCCTTTAAACTTGGAGATAGGGCAAAGTACTTCGTTTAAAAGGATTCTCTGGGCAGTGGAACTGGCATACAGAGAAAGAAACTCAAACTGCCGTCTTTCCAGTTTTCCTTGAATCACCTTTCCATCTAGCAGACTATAGCCAAATAAACAGAATAAATTGCCAACCAGGAAGCAGAAAATTAACATTGAATATTGAGAGACTTGCTTTACAAACCTGAAAGATACTTGAGGATTGAGAATAGTGAGAATTACCCACACTAGTAGCAGAGGTGTCTCAGAAGCAGAGAGGCTTGTCCCAGCCTTGTTCTGTAGTGAAGATTCCATGGTCTCCCCAGGTCACCAGGCTTGGCGCTCTTCAGTTCCCATCTCTTTGGCACTTCCACTTGCATGGCGTGTATGTCTGCTTGTCCCATCCTTGCTAGAGAGGGATGACTGCAGGTCTCCTGATTCTGAATGGCTAGCCTCCCTGCACTTACTCACCAGAGATGTGTGTATTTACGAGGAACTGATAGTTTGAAATAGAAGCACTGATAAGTCCTTCAGAAGGGCTGAGCTGGAGGAGCTTTTAATAGAGACGTCCAGTCAGACATGGGCCACTGGGTGTGTGAGGAGGCAGAATGGGGCGGGGAACTCTTGAGAGCTTCCTGAACCTGGTGGGTCTGCTTGAGCCCTAGTTTCAAGGGAGGGAGGAGGGCGTTTAGCAGCAGAGGAAAGAATGTCAGAGGGGCCCCATTGGAATGCTGGGCCTGACACAAATGAGGATGCCACGCCCTTCCCCTCAGTTCCAGGGAGCAAGCAGGCCCCTCTAGGGGAGGCAGAGAGGCCAGCTCCTTCCAGGCAGGGCCTTGCTCACACTGCCTGCAAGGACAGGGGTGTTAATGATGGGAATGTTTCTCAGCTGGCTTGGCCAGCTATAAGGCATACTCAGCACGGGATTCGGGCTGGGAAACATCCTTTGTCTCTAGATTCTCCACATTTCTCCTACACTAGCTAACCAACTCCAAAACCATACAACCATCTCTTTTTCACTTTTCTCCTTGGGAAGTTTTTGCTCCTTCGCACCTGACCTCCGGGAGGCCTCTTCAGAGGCCTCTTCAACTCTGCCCGCAGAGCTGACTGATGGGGCTCCGCAGAGTACACATGCAGTGTAGGCCCCCTCCTCTCCTCTCCCCCCTGCACGTGGTCATCGTCACCTCTGTCATCCCTCTGGTGTGGTCCGGAGGCAGGAGACAGTCCAGTCAGAGCCAGTCTGAAGGATGTGTTGGGCCCAGGAGCTGTGGTCAACAGGCTGAAGCCAGGACGAGTGCCAGCAGGTTGAGAGAAGACAGGGGGAAGCCCTGAGGGTCTAGTGAAAGCAGAGAGGAGGGTAAGAGACTCTGTAAAGGGAACCATAAGGGTCTTTTCTTTCTCTCCAGACTAAGCCTCTGGCCTCTTGTGGCTAATATACTCAACCCCAGAGGCTTTCCCAGCTGTAGGATTTGGTTCATTTGATTTCCTATCCCCAGCAAACATCTGGGTTGCATCCTGATATGTGAAATGACTTCCCGCACATATTGTCTGTCACTGGTTCCAAGTAAGACTGGGTTAGAAGTAAATCCAGATCTAGGTCTCCTTCCATCTCAGCAGGGAGAAAGAGGAGGGTTGATAGAGAAGAGATTTCCTCTCTGTACTGTAATGAGCAAAAGAGATTTAGAAAACATATCAGAACTTAGATATTCTGATATCTTGCTCCTGGAAATAGAGAAACAGCATCTATAAATGAGCACAGTGGCCTGAATTAATGACATCCATAGCAACCCTTTCCCTAAGCCACCCATGTCACTCTCCTTTCTGTTTCCCAAATTTATATCACGATGACTAGATACTAGAAAGAGAAGCAAAGGGCAAGAAGTACCTGTTATTGTTATTGTTGTTTTTTAGTTGCTAAGTCATGTCCGACTCTAGCAACCCCATGGAGTATAGCCTTGCAGGCTCTTCTGTCCATGGGATTTTCCAGGCAAGAATACTGGAGTGGGTTGCTATTCCCTTCTTCAGGGGACCTTCCCGACCCAGGGATCGAACCTGCATCTCCTGCATTGGCGGATGGATTCTTTACCAACTCCTGTTTAAAAGCAATTTGTATCTTAGAAACTTTCTGTATTTACAGACTTCCTTTGTCCCACAGTAATTTTTAAATTTTTCCTACAAATTGTGTGGCAGTGCTGAGTTAAATTGTGAGGGAGGTAAACGGAGGGAGGGCGAGTATCCCCATGATTTAACGTCATGACATCTTTCTTTCTCATTTTCCTAGATCTTCGAAAGAATTCTATTTATTTGGGCCATCCGACACCCCGCCAGTGGGTATGTCCAGGGAATTAATGACCTGGTCACTCCGTTCTTTGTCGTCTTCCTCTCAGAATATGTGGGTAAGAAGCATGAGTCCCAAGTTGAACAAGCTTTTGCTCTTTTTTCATCTGTGGTCTGTTTGTTTTTCCCAAGAGTGCAGCCAGTGGGCACATCTTGCTAAAAAAGAGATAGTGGCTTTAGAATACACAGCTGAACCTGTTTTAACAGCAACAGCAGCCTGGAATTTATCTCTCAAGATGGTCACAGATCTCTGCTAAAAAGACCTGCTTTGCCACAAGAATGGCCAAGTTGGCATATTTATGTTCCACCATAAACAGATGGTTTGATCCTTCATCTGAGGTTCTTTTAGGATTATTTTGAACTTGACTCTAACACAGGCCCTCACCTGTGAAAGCTGGATTTTCAGATTATACATCAGGCCTCCATGCTTTCATTCACACGCCGAATCTTAGGAGCAGGGTATGGGCCTGCAGAGGAGGCAGGGTGGTGCCAGGTTCCAGCTCACGTTGGAGGCGATGAAATGGGCCAAGGAGAGCTCCGGGACCTTGGTTTCTCCCACTTCCTTCTTCGCCCCTTACCTCACTGTGTTCTTGTCACTTTTTTTGTTTTTAAGTTTAAGGAAGATAGTTCTTTTTTAAAAGTTCATTAATTTATGGCTGCACCGGGTCTTCATTGCTGCATGTGGACTTTCTCTAGTTGCAGCAAGTGGGGGCTACTCTCCAGTTACGGTACACCGGCTTCTCATTTCAGGAGCTTGTGTTGTTGCAGAGCATGGGCTCTCTAGCGCGAGGGGCTCTAGTAGTTGTGGCGTGTGGACTCAGCATGCAGCTCGTGGGCTCTAGAGGGCAAGCTCAGTTGTTGCGGCACGTAGGCTGAGTTGCCCCATGGCACGTGGAGTCTTCCTGGACCATGAATCAAATGCATGTCCCCTGCAGTGGCAGGTAGATTCTTAACCACTGGATCATCAAGGAAGTCCCCAGCAGTTAGGTTTTCTTACAGTGCCAGCCACACTACTCCAGCCAGGCCTAAATCAGGCAGTCTCAAAAGGCGTTGAGGATTCTCTGCTTCTCCTGTTGATTCCCTTAATCTCTTGTTGTTTTGCCGAAAGTTTTCACTTTTGTCTCAGGTTCAAAGGATTTGTTAACAAAAGAAGCCACTCGTTATATTCAAATAAACAATACCAGTATTAATTAGGCTTCCCTGGTAGCTCAGCTGGTAAAGAATCTGCCTGCAGTGCAGGAGACCCCAATTTGATTCCTGGGTCAGGAAGATTCCCTGGAAAAGGGATAGGCTACCTACTCCAGTATTCTTTGGCTTCCCTGGTGGTTCAGCTGGTAAAGAATCCACCTGCAATGAGGGAGACCTGGGTTCAATCCCTGGGTTGGGAAGATCCCCTGGNGGGAGACCTGGGTTCAATCCCTGGGTTGGGAAGATCCCCTGGAGAAGGGAACGGTTACCCCCTCCAGTATTCTGGCCTGGAGAATTCCATGGACTCTATAGTCCATGGGGTTGCAAAGAGTTGGACATGACTGAGTGACTTTCAATATTTATTAGAGAATTATATCGCTTACTTTCAATAAACTAATATTAAAAGAGAAATAGAAACAGCAGAGGACACATCATCAAGTTGGGTTTTGACCAACATCCATAAACTCAAACAGCCCTGGAAGTCCTGTGTCACAGCACATCTGGAGTCCCAGTTGGGCAAAGGTCCAGGCAGCGTATCCCCTGCACGGGTGAGACTTCAAAAATTCCATTTCAGGGTTCCGCTTATAATCCCAGGATGCAAACTGATATCGTCATTAATCTGTGAGCAAATTGCATCTCTGGTTTCATGTTAATGCTGTTTGTTTTGTCGTGAAAAACTTGGAATGTCGTTAAGCCTGGGGCTTGGTGGGCCAGACCCCATCCAGGGGCTCCACAGTCTAAACATTCAGCCCCTGTCTTATCTGTGATGCTGCCAGACTTGCACTCACAGCACACAGTCAGGGCAGCGTCCAGGCAGGATGGACGCAGGTCAGAGGCCTGCTCTGCTTTGTCTCTGAAGCCAAACGAGACCGTTTAATTCCCTAACACTTGTGCTTTGAGATTCACAGGAAAACCCATCTGTCATGCAGCCTGATGCTTTTGTTGTCTTATCGGTCAAAAAGAAGCTCATGTGGGAATCAGAACGTGGGAAAGGATTTTAGGAAACTATCCGTCTCCTCCACCCCTTTTCTTGCCTCATTAGTGGCAGAGCTGGGACTAGAACCCTTCTCTTCAGGCCCTGGGGTGATAGGTAATGAGATGATGCCATCGCAGGGGGGTAGGTCAGTCATGAGAAGGGGGCTGGCTTAGAGCCCCTTGGAGTGGGGGCATGAGAGATGTCTCACTTGATCCTTCCCTTGCAGGTTTTCTGGTGGGACCAAAGGGATGGTGTTTTGGGCTTTCATGAGGCAGCTTTTTTTTTTTTTTTTAATGATTTGAAAAGGAAGGCAACCAAATGATGTCATTCCTTGTTCTGCTTAAGTGACAGCGACCAGGGCAGAACTGGGAGTAAGGATGAAAGTCACACTCTTGTGCACACTGTCAAGTGGCCCTAAGCAAAAAGCATATAAATAAAGCTTTTGCGAGAACTTTTATTTTCCCCTCTTATCAATTGATCAGTTTTTGCAAGTGCCTTCATTCTGTGTGTGTAACTTAATTATAAAGAGCAGTGCAGCTGACGCTTTGGGATTTGATTCTTGCAGGAGTACTTTTCTGAAATGGTATTAAAGGATGAGCCTTGTTATTGTTTAGTTGCTAAGTCGTGTCCGGACTCTCTTGTGACCCCGTGGATTGTAGCTCACCAGTCTCTTCTGTCCATGGGATGGATTCTCCAGGCAAGAATACTGGAGTGGGCTGCCATTTCCTTCTCCAGGGGATATTCCTGACCCAGGGATTGAACCCAGGTCTCCTGCATTGGCAGATGGAGTCTTTACCACTGAACCACCAGGGGAACCCAAGGATGAGCCCAGGAAGATATTAATCCATTCATTAATCTACATTTGAGGTCTAGAGGCTGGCATGTAGCATTGCCAGTTATTATGCTAGTTTAGGAAATCCCCAGCAGCTGCAGTTCTAGTTGGCTGTTAATTATCTTGTGAGCTGTCATTTGTGTGTGTTTTTTTGTCCCCAGTTTTCCTCCACCTTCTGTAGGCACCCATCCCATCACTACCTTAACTCGGTCAGCCCCACTGTGCCTTTCTCTGATAGGTATGACTGCATTCTGATCTGTGTTTGGTTTGTCAGCCCCACCTGCTGACCATTGAAATCACTGCTCGCCCACAGCGTTTACACAGCAAAGTGTGGGCTTCTCTGCCCCTCCTCAGCAAGGAGGCCTTTCTGAGTAAGGCTGCAGTCAGCCTCACCTCTGCAGCAGCCTTCAGAGAGGTCTTTGGTACCTCCTCCCAGAGCTAGGAAAGTGGAGCCCATTCATATTTCACAAAAGCTTTAATTATATTACATTTCTAAACTTATGTAAAAGTAGAAAAAATAATACCATAAATCCTCATACACTTGCCACCCAACCTCACACCTCTGTCAATTCTTCACTCACTCACCTTTGTGAGTAAGCAAATCTCAATGTCAAGCAACATATAATTTCATCCAGAAATACTTCCATATGTGTCACTCGAAGATCATGATTAAAGAAACAGCCATAATGTAATTATTACATCTGAGAAGTTATAATAGTTCCTTTATATAGTCTGATGTACAGCAGTATTCAAGTTTTCTTTATTCCATAAATATATTTAACATTTTGTTTGAATCAAGGTTCAGATCAGGTCCACACATTCTACTGGTTTGTTGATATATCTCTTAAGTCTCAATCTATCAATTCCCATCCATCTCTGTTATTTTGCCAGTTTTCAAACTGGGGCTTTGCCATGCCAACCAGGAATATTACAATGATTTTTAAAACACTTTACCATTTGCAAAGTACTTTGACCTGATTTCCTTTAGTAGCCCCCAGTATCTCTTTGGAATCTATATATGAACCCATTTTACAAGTGAGAAAGCGAAGCTTCAGATATATAATGAGCTTCCCGAACTCAAGCCTCCATCTCTTAACCTGAATGCTTGTGCTCTTTGGGCTTCCCTGGGGTCTCAGTCCACGGGGTCGCAGAGTCAGACACGACTGAGTGACTTTCACTTTCACTTGTGCTCTTTATATGACTTGGTGGTATCGCAGTTTAGATGTATCTTCTCCATTCTCTGCTGCAAAGCGTGTGGTACATTACTTGTTACTCCTTGCCTCAAACAAAAACCGAAATAAGCAAAAAATTACAGTAGAAGTACTTGCTTGTTTAAAAAAAAAAGATCAAAACAATAAAGAAGTGTTATTACCCCACCCGTACCCTCCACCACAAGAGATAACACCCTTTGATGTGTATTTTTCCAGCCCTTTTCCTGTGTGAGAACAGACCTGCATCTGTTATTTTTCTTTGTTTTGCCCAGAAAAATAGAATCGGACTAATCCATACTTTTCTCAGTCTTTCTTGCTTTCACTCACAAGTGTCTGGCCAGCTTTCCAGGTTCTGACATACAGGTCTGTGTTGTCATTTTCAGCAATTCCATCTGTTTTCATTTAGCTTTATAGTGCAGTGAACAGTTCTTTCATAGTAGGGCATTTAAATGGTCTATAATTTTTAGCCATTATAGGTAACATTTTAATGAATATCCTTATGCATATTTTCTTATACCTTTTTCTTGAACTACATGTTTTTCTGAAAGAGCATGCATAGAAGTGAAAGTGCTAGTCCTAAAAGCATGCCTAATAGATACCACTAACTTAGACTGCAGAGAGGTTTACGGTGGTTTGTACTCCAACCACTAATGTTCAGGTGCACTTTTCTTCACATCCTTATTAGCAAGTCTAATTGTGTTTCACCAGTCTGGCAGGTAAACTGCGGTTTGTGTTTCAGTTTTTATTGCCACTTACTCCTCAGCAAGGTGGTTTATCTTTTGTGTATTAGCATCTGTTTCTTTTGTCATCTGGTTGTTCAGATAGTTACACTTTTTTTTTTTTTTCTTCTAT